TAGAGGGGAAACAATATTCGTGTTTATTTTTCAGTAACGTTTTAACAGAGAGTCAGAAGCCTCTTTCCTAAGCACTATATTTGTAAACTTTAAAAGCCTGGTTTCTTTTAGATTCACCTGCTGGAGGCTTTCAGTTGTTTCCTGAAATGCTGCCTCCTTAATATTTTTCCAGGGCAGTTAAGGACACCTCAAGTTAAACATAAGCCTACTGAGAGCAGGTTTTAGCTCTCTGTCACTTTTTTTTTTTTTTTCTTAAGTTTTTCACGATGTACACATTGAAACTATGGATCTGCAGTATTTCTTTTTGACTACTTTTCCTGCTATCCCTGAGAAACAGCGTATGAGATTGCATTGTAAATAAATAGGGGACTTTCTGCATCCAGTTAAATTGATACGGTGCACTAAAACCACTGTATGCATATGGTTGCAAGGACAGGCTTAGACTGGCTTGTGCCATTTCCAGCAGGCACAGAACAACTCTGGTCAGGCTCTTCGTAGAGATGCGTGAGGGGGGGAATTGAGCAGTAAGGTGATTGTGCATGTGCAGCTGTTATGGGAAAGATTAAAATGGGAAATTGTCACCTAATTGCAGCTAGGAGACACATGCAAAAAGACTGAACTCGGAGCTGAAGCTGCCTTGGTGGTGATGCCACAGGTTGATAAGCTTAAAAAAAAAAAGTTTTGTTGTTTTTTTTTAAACTATGAAGCCAGATTCCTTCAGTTGGTGGAGAGTGGTAGAAACTTCTTATCCATACGTTATGAGGCCATACTTCACGAAACAAGTATTGCTGTGAAATGCTGAGGATTGCTGGTAGGTGAAGGGATAGTCCCTTGTAGAGGACTTCAAAGCTCTACTGATGGAAACAGCACCTCCCGTGGGAGTGTCCCCTTCTTACTTGTTCCTGTCTGCTTTTTCAGCATGTGTTTCCTGCTGCCTTCGAGGAAGGGAAATTGAAGCCAGTCTTTGCCACTTCAAGCTCCACTTGCAGCCTTTTTTTCTGGATGCTCTGCAGGTGCTTTTGGCAGGGCAGGATGCAGCTTGCTAGCTGGTGGCAGCCTGAGCAACTGAAGGATTATGGAGGTCTCCAGGCTGTGCATTTCTATTCCCCTACTTGCTGGTAGAAGTCGATATTAACAAAAACCATCGAATTCCTTGATGTGACAGGCTTGAAGCATGTTTGTATGTCACCTTACTTGACTTGCTTTTTATTGTCTTAATCATGAATGATTCAGTATGTCTTTTCCTGCTCAGTTGAGCTCTGTGTGGGTCTTGAGACATTAAATAAAAGCCATGTCTTACCTGTTCACTTCAGCAGCCCATGGATTGGGATGTACATTAGAAAATTGATTTTGAAAATTCTGCCACTCCGATTTCTTGCTTATGTTGCTGTCTGCAGCATTTTGTGCAAAATAAGCACCTAAATTAACTTACAAAGGGTAAGTATCAAGTTTACAGTACTTCATGAGCCTAGCTGGGATGTTTGTAAAGAAGGCTGATAGGAAAGTGAGGTGGAGAATGTACCCATTATATGGCAGAGTCTGGTCCCGCTTGTGTTCAGCTCATACATGTATTGCTCAAATTAAGTCTCCTAAACTTGACAAATTGGCTTAGTGAAGAAGCTGTGTGCTGTTTAGTATACTTCCCACCAGAGAACTTTTCCCTCCGCTCTCTTTGACTAGACGGCTAGACTCTTTGTGGCTCAGTTTCCAACACCATTCCTTCAGGGCTGAAGAGAAATTTTATATTCGGGGCTTGCAGTATTTCCTTCAGTTCTGTAGAACTGGAGTAAGCACTTCCAGACAACAGTCTGTGATTAAAACAAAACACATTCTTCTTTATGAAAGAAGAGTTAATTTTCTGTGAAATACTAAGATTAGCTTTTTTGCTTGCTTTATTCAGAATCGTGGTATGTCTCATACAGTGTAGTAATGGTTTTTGTTCTCACTAATTTGTGAAATGCTTGTTTAGATATTATGGGTGTGTGCATGTGTTCTTGGTAAGCACTTAATAAACTAGATTGATCTTTTTGGCAAACGCTGCATTGTGTAGAACAAATTAAACCTGAAATAACGGTTGTTTCAGATTATTTTTCTGAAAGTGTAATTGCATATATTCTTTTTCCTACTGGCTGCTGAAATGGGTTTCCCAATAGTGTTTTATTATTCTGTTTTATTTCAACAATACATATATAGTAGTTTTGTTTCCATTCCACTGGCAGACCTACAGCCTCCAGTGGTAATTCTTTACCAGCAATTTTTTATAATTGTAATAACTATGGAACTTTGTGAAATATAGTGGAAATATTTTCCTGAAGTTTATCTACTATAAATAAAAACCCAATTCTCTTTTTTTTCCCTCCACCAAAAAAGAATGCAAATGGAGATTTTTAAGCAAAAAATTGATTCTGAACTCCTTATGTATTAGAACACTTCTGAATATTTTAATATCTGGAGTTTATATGACTCTTGCTTCTCTTTTAGTCCCCATCTACACTAAGAATTTGGACATACGCTAAAATACTTATCGAGGCACTTGAACACATACCCATATTTTACCCTCTGCTTATGTCCTATTTTAGCTGTGTGTGGCATGGATAAATTGAATTAAATCCCTACGTTGCCATCCTCAGAGGGGTTTAGGAGTCTAATGGTCCATCACGTGCTCCCCTCTGCGTGCAGCTGGTAGCTGCGGGGGCCGTGGTTGTACCCCAAGGACCAGCTTTGCTGAGCCCCCTTCACAGTCCAGGTTACCTTGCCAGACCTGAGGTGTAGCCTTGCCCACAGGCTTATCTGCTGAACATTTTTCAGAATGCTTTATAGTCACGTACAAACTTAAAGGTCAGGTTTTTAGGCAGTTGAGCACCATTTAACCATTGGCTTTGGTCAAAAAGATTTTGCTGGATGAACTGAGGACCTGAGATGCTGCTCTTGTGTTGTATCGCTGCAATAACGCTGAGAGACTTGTTAACTGATATGGGTCTTCATTCCTTTACTTGGATCAGATTCTGGCACAGTGCTTTTATTCCTGTCTCTTTATGCACGTAACAAAATGAAAAAGTTATTAACATTATAGTTCGTAAATATTTAGTCTTTCTCTTTTTGAAAAAGATGGCACGTAAGTGGCTATGAAAAGAGCTCAGAACTGTTAAAATAGTGTCTCTTGTAGGTGCCTCCCAAAGGATGCAAACAGTACAAGATTGCATTAGATGAGTGAAAAGACGATTCCAGCCCGAGCCTTCCCTGACTGCCTCACCCTCATCTTTTCTGGTTCCATGCTGGTGTGCTTTTTATGCAAAAGCAAACATCTTTTGTGTTTAGGGAAAGGAGTAATAGAACTGTCGGTGTTTGTTAACACATTTGACAAACTATGGCAGCAAAAGCTATCCTTTTTATATTTGGCATGAACAATCGCCCTTTTATTGGGCCATTAATGCTATTTCAGAGCATCATGCTGTATCCATAGGCAATAATTTAGCAGCTGTTTATCAGGAGCTTTCATAAAGCTTTGAATAGTATTATAACATTCAGTAACCCTAACAACAGCATTTCAGAATCTGTGCCGGTTTAAATGGGATATCCGTGAATGTAGTTGTTCAGGGATGCGTGACCCACATAACCTATAAATTTGATTGGAAGTTACAGTGCTGGCATAGGCTGATGGATAGCAGATTAGAGCCCTGATTAACCATGTGATTCACAGGCTGGGAATATATTGTCCTAAGAAAGATTCATCAGATGCAATCAGAATTTCAAGTGGTCAGATGAAATTCAAATGCTCTGTTTGCTTCCCTCCCCCCTCCCCCCCAACTTCCTTGTGCTTTTCTTCTTAGGTTGCCCTCTGTTATTTATTTATTTATTTATTTATTTTATTTCCAGAGCTGAAAAATACTTCTTTGATGAATCTGCTCCTCACCCTAAAGCTGTCTGTCTGTTATTCATCAGAAAGCAGGTCGCAGTTCAGTGAGCAGAAGAAAAGATTTTAATAGAAGCTGTGCCAAGGGCTGTAATGCATCATTTTAGGGCCCTAATTACATTACAATGACAAATATCAATGGTGACAACAGCAATAACCTACATCCTTTAATGGCTACGCTGGAAAAGGAGTTTGGGCGCTGCGCCATCAGATTAGACTTGGTTTCAAAACATAGGCCATTAGAAGTGTATGTGTCCACGGTATTATTGGCCGATAACTGAAGCCCAGTGGAAAGGCCTGTAAATAAATGATGCCTCTCTAAAGCCTGGTCCCACGGGACAAAAGAGGCAAAATTAGATGACCGTGGAAGCAGCCGTGTCTCCGAGGCAACTTTGGCTTTCCATGTGAGGAATTGGCTGCCTGATTTTATGAAATCATACTTTTTCCTTCTCCTGCCAATTAGGTTGATCATGAAAAACCCATTGGCCTAACATCTAGGAGAAAAAATAAGTTCCTAAACTGGTTTTTAAATGTAGGGTTTTAAAAATCCCTACCAGTGTAGAAATGTGAAGTGGACTCGTGTTTTATTTTGTGTCTGACTTTGTACTGTACATGAATATCATTGAATTACGTGAAGATCATCAAGCTTCCAGGCCCCCATCCAGTGGCAGTAGGAATAGGTCTACGGGGGTGCTAACTTACGTCATCAGTACCTACACCTTCAAGTTTTAAGGCGGTGTCGCAAGAAACCCACTCTGGCTAGCTTCAGGCAGCTAACTCCTTCTCTTGTACATTTTGTAATAAATGATCCAGCTTGCGTTTGTGGTATTCACCTGCACAGTTAATTGCAGAAACAGTTGCGGTGTCAAGGTAGAGGGTTACTTCGTATTCACTATGTGAAAATGTTGGTTTAACTTTTTTTTTCTTGGTACAGAACGTGAACGTGTGATGGTCTGTCATTTGTGCATGGTACACGTACGTGTTGGCCTTCAACGCCTTCCTGCTGGCTGTGGTCTCCAAAGGTGGACAGTCCCTGTCCCGGTCATGCCGTGCCCCTGCGGTCTGCTGCTGCTTGGGCTGGGCTGTTCCCTTGCTGCCCAATAGTTCAGGATGATAAAACATAACCGCATGCGCAACCGCACACCTGGGGATGCTCATCGTTAGGGGAGGTGAGGGCTGTTTTAATGAAGAGATCATGTAAACACCTGCCTCAGTGTAGCAAGGGCTTCTCAGCAATGTTGTGACTGGCCTGGTGGGCCCCTTGCCGAGCTGAGAAATGCTGCTGGGGAATGTCTCGGCATCTCTGCAAGCTGGTAGCGAGCTCTTTCTCTTCTCCGTAGGTTGAGCTGGGTTGCTGTCTCCATCAGCTCGCTTTCCTGCATACGGCATGAAAAGACTCTCTGTTCTGTACTCCAGTGGGATTGATACCAAGAGGTTTATTACGGTTGTGTAACCGTTCATATTCAGCCACCTGTTTTCAGTTACTTACAGCTTTTTGGAAGATGTTTCTTAGCTTAACGTTTCCCAGGCTCAGAATCTGCCGGAGGTGAATTTTTGTATAAATACTGAGCAAATATGTTTCAACCACTTTTTGGCCAGAAGAGCAGTAAGAAGAGAGACATACTTCTTCTTTTGGGGGGCAGGGAGGGAAGTGATCAAAAGAAAAACATCATAGCCGAAATAGCTTGAAATAGCTGGGGTTGAGTACCTTAATTGAGAAGAAATGCCACAAAGTGAGTTGAATAAAATAATTTTGGTTGACTAGGCTGTATTCTAGCTGAGCTAGAATTTACGTGTTTGACGGAGAAGTCGGTGAAGTTTTACAGCTTGTGTTACTCAGGGGGTCAGAGAAGACGATTGTAACAGTCCCTTCTGGCCTTAAAATCTATGAATCTACATGCCCTTTAAAATTACACACTGAGCTCTTGCATGGCGCTTCGAGCCAGTTTTGCTCTCAGTTCCTAAGTGGTGCAGTAGAGGCATCCAGCTGAAGAATGTAGCTGTGGTGGAAGAGTAGTCTTCTGCTGAGCACAACCAAGGCAAAGGCTCCCCACAGGAGCTGCGCAGGAGGTAGGTAAGGTTGCAACAGGCATTTTGAAGATGGGTAGGAGGAGTGTTTTTGCAGTGGAGGAAAGCATCATGTGCCTTTTTTTATTAAGGCACGTATCCGTGTTAAATGGCAGGTCAGAGTGGCTTCAGCTCAAGTCAGGATGGTGGCACTAAAGAGTTTTCTCTTCATGTAGAAAAGCCTCAAAGAGCAGGATGTGTGGTTTACTCTTTGGTTTTAAACTGCTCAGGAGATTCCTTTAAAAAATAAAAAACAGCAGCATGGCTGGGACCTAAAATTTGGAAATGACTAAATTAATGGTGCTTAAACCACTACAGCACAGCTACCTTGGAGCTGTGCATTATATTACGGTCTACAATTCCTTAATCAAATATTGTTTCTCAAGTAACGCCGTACTGGATTGTACAGCCTCTCTGGCTGAAGCTTAGTTGTGCACATCTTGTCGCTCCCAGTACTGCTCTGTGTAATAAGCAGTTCGTAAACCTGTGTGTCAACTAGTACAGCGAACACTGTTTAAAGGGGTATTTAAGTTTAACATTGTGGGATATCTGATATTACAGGCACATGTAGACCTTTGAAATTATCAGGTAATTTAGCTTTGTGGTGGACAGAGCATATTCTTAAGTGTCCTTTAAGGTACCTATGCTGCTGAATAAGCAGGAAAGGTGTAGTAGATGCGTGTAAAAATGTATTAAAATGCATATGTTCAACGAGATGAGGACTTGCACAACCAATGAAGACCAGTGAGAAGATACTGGGACAGTGTAGCATAGAAATTGCTCTGTAAATAACGTACAGAAGTTTAGATGGATGTCAGAGAAATGAAGAAATTGTATTGCAAAATAGTGTGTGTTAGCTCGAGTGTATCACAGTATGCACAAGGGGGCAGAGTTAGTTTCGCATGTACCATTCCCTCTAGCATACCATGTCTTCTGGTTACGTAGCTGTGTAATTGCAGTATTCCTTGGACCCAGATTTGTTTTATATGTGGTTCTGACTTCTTTCACTGCTAGTTCTGAGCTTTTTTGTTCTATAGGTTCTTTTCTAAGTGTTTGCAATTTAAAAGGCAACATAGCAAAGAGGCTGGAAGGGTTGCTGTTAAAAGAAGGAAGCCTAAATTGTGCAAGTTTGTATGTCTTTGTCATACAGTTAGTGACTTTGCAAGAGGAAGAGCATTCTGTCCTACCATCTAATGAGGAACTGACCCTGGTTACAATTTGTTATAAGAAAGTTATGAGTTATTGTAAGAAAGTCTATGTGGCTTTAAATACTCTGTTTCTCGAGCTGTAATTCTTGTGTTCTCTCTCTAAATCTCCTCCGTCTCTATTGAGATTTGCAGGTTAAATACATAGAATAAGAATTGATCTCCAGTGTGGAAATAAAACATTGTCTATTACTCATTTCTCATCACAATTGCAATGTGAAAGTAACTACTATTAACCTCGGGTTTGATAACAGCATGAATATGAAACAAGACTGCAGTATCCCTTTCTAAACTGTGTGGTAGAATGATTAGCAGTGAAGTTTTATATTGTGCTGATAATGTTCTCATGATATGCAGTGTTAGTATAGAAGTTTATTTGTTCCCTTTGCTTACAGTGGCATTGTTGTAAGTTGAAATGATCCTTCTTTTTGCCTCTTAGAAGCGGTTTAGTTCAATACACAGTATTTTCTTCATCTTTTTTGTTACATCTTCTGAAGATTTTTTTCTTTAAATGCCTTTGATGCGTAATCAGAATTAACTTTTCTTCGTATCAGTTCTAAACACTGTTTTTTAAGGAAAACTTTTTAGCCAGAAATTACTAGCTTCCTAGGTATTGTTGAATTGGTGTCCAGATACTTCCATTATATTGATAATCTGTCCTGGGCAGGGGATGACTAGAGATTAAAAAAACCCCAAACAAATGTATCTTCTGTCTTCATGGGTGACCATGGCATCTGAGAATTTATATAACTGAACTTCTTTCTTTTTGTCACTTGCAGGCAGAAATTGTCAAGAGGCTGAATGCTATATGTGCACAAGTCATTCCCTTCCTGTCCCAAGAGGTAGGTAGTCGTTTGTACTGGTGCTGATCTAAACGATTGCCTCATCGTACCTATTACAGAAGTGGGACTTTGTGTTGAGACAGTTTCTTTATGAATCTCTTGGTGCTTGTAGATGACTTTCCACTGTGCTGTTATTGCTGTAACTTCATTCTCTTCCTCAAGTCCATTATAATACTATTTAAATATATTTATGAAATGGAACGTGTTGTAATGTACTAAGCAAAATTTCCGTTGTTTAAATATTTTGCTCTCATGTACAATGCAGTTTTCTTCACGGTTATGACTTTGTTGGTCTGAAATCAGAGGATAGCTTGCAAAAATGCTAGAAAGGCATGATTTGTGCTACATTCTTGGCAGCAGGCATTAAAGTTCGTCAGAAACTTCTATTTTGGTATACCAACTAGTGATGTTCAACACAGCAGGCATACAAATGCAGCTTTTTTCCTTGGTTTTTTTCTCTCTGCATCCCAGATTACTTATTACCTTAAATCCTTTTATGTTTCCTGCGTATTTGGGGAATATAGGCAGAAGATTGAAGCTCACTGTGAGCTAATTTCTCGAAGCACTAATTTTTCTCCAAATTATGATTTGCTGGTGTTGTCTTGAGTGCATTGTAGATACTTTGAGGGGCACTGGGATTTGGGGGAATTGGGGGGAGCTAGCGAGGGAGCTTTGGAGCCACAGGCATGTGTGAAGTAAAATGTAGGTGTGGTTCATGAAAGGAGACCTGGGGTGCATAATGCCTTCCCCTGCCCACCCTGTTGGAGGGAAGGGGCTGGAGGCTGGGGTCTGCAGGTGCAGGCTGGCATGCATCTATTTAGTGCATTGTTCCATTTCAGTAGAATCGGTAGCTGAAAAGTCAAAGCTGGAAAGTGTATTTCTGTGCATTTCATCTGTAAAACGTCATGCCTGAGAACACGTTGTGACTTTCTTCCACCTTTTCAGTTGTTCCATTGCTTTTCAAGAGAGCTGCTCATCCTGCTGCAAACAAGAGGCTGTGCGCTCGATGTTAGCATTCAGCTAACGCGCTGCATGTGTGCACGCACGTGTGCATCTATCTATGTTTGAAATAGGAATAACGCTATCAAAACTAGAACCTGACAATGCTTGTGAGCACTGCTGTACTCTCTGCTTGTAAAGATGGATTTGTGGAAACTAAATGATGTGTAATGATCTAGTAACATCACTGGGGGACCAGAATTCAAGTCCTGCAAGGATCTAAAACAAGTAGCTGTTGACTTTGTACTTTGACTGCTACAGAACCTCTATATATCTAGTTACAGGGTTTTATTTGCTGTGCAGGAATAGCACAGCATATAAAAACAAGGTGTAAAGCTGATTCATACTCATGCTAAAGTGAGCACTAAAATGACATGATTTTGAAACAAAGGCAGGGGTGAGTACTTGGCACGCAAAACTGTGATCTTGGCAAAGACATGGGATTGACGTTTCCACGACAGAGACATCCCCTCTAGCACATGTGATACCGTCTTTAAAACCTTTGTACCAGTATACTGCTGCTGATAATGGTACTGCTGTTGTCAGCTGAAATGCTAAACAAAACTTACACAAGTAAGACACACCACTGTGCTTGCTCTGCTTCCACAAACCCAGCCCGTGTGCTTTCTTGGAGTAGGTGTTTCTTGCCAATTAGACAAGCAAAGGGATTACATGAGCTTAGAATGCATTTGAAGAAAGATGTATTTGATTCATAGTGACTGATAGATTTTGGCCTTTGATTTTGTAAATCCTAGCCTCCACCCCTTCTATATGCTTATGTGGAATTGAGGGGAAAAAAAAAAAGGAAGAAAAAAAGACTGTAGGTTTTTGAGCTTTGATCTTAGTGGTGTCCCACTCAGGTGAGCAGGGGCGCTCTCTTTTTTCCTCTGTTCCATATTCATCGTGCTTCCCTGTCCCTGGAGCTAAATTGCCCTGAGTTCTCCTGAAAGCTGGTGTTGGTACATTTTAAGCCCCTGCCTTAGAGGGAGGCAGCGCTGTGAAGGCTGCACATGGTACTTCCATCGAGGAGAATCTCCCGTGTGGTGCTTGCAGTCAGTAGCTTGGGAACTATAAGCCAAGGGCCCTGATCACTGTTTAACAACCTCCTGGCCATCAAGCTGGGCATGGAGAGCAATTCTAAAGCAATTCTGGTCTTAGCCATTGCAGTAGCTTGCCATTACTATGCTACTTGTAAGAACTATGTAGGTAGACAACTGAGATCATCCAGATTGTAAATTTAGAAAATGATGTTGTCCCACTTCCGTCATGGGTACAGTACCACTCAGTGAGGGCTTAAGCGCACCAGCATCAGTGTGCTTAATGACTGGTGTTTACTTTGTTAGGCTTTAAATCAGAGCTTTGAGTTAAGCTTAGATCGAAAACAGGCTCTTGTCTGGCTTCTGCACTAGTGAGCCTCTGCCTTTTAAATCCCTGGCCCATAAGGTTTCCTTCACCTGTTTGCATGTCTCATTTACTGAGTCTTACAGCTTCTCCTCTGTGTGTGTTTCATGGTGTCAAAGCTCTTTGGGCTACAGAGGAGATGGAGAGGTCAAAAAAGTTCAGGACTTCAGAGTTTTTACGTGCATTGACAAAGACAGAAGGGAGCACTTCCAAAAAGCTGGTGTACTCATTCGTCTTGCGTGGAGGCAAGCATGCTTTTTTTAGTTCACCTAGCAAGAGGGGAGGGGGACTGGACAGCAAGGAGGGTTTGAAAGGGGAAGCATAAAACAGCTTTTCACGGGTCTTGACAGTGCCACTGATGGTGATAATTTTCTTACTGGGGTTAGGAAAATCTTGGTAACTGTTTGACCTCTGTTAGTAGAAACACTTATTTAGATCTGTTTATATTGGCATATACTGATGAGGCAAAAGAGAACTGATCTCCAGATTTGAGTATTCTGCTAGTCTTGGTTTCTATCTAATTTGTGTCTTTAAAAAGTGAGTGTCTTAATGGAAGCCTCTTCATTTCATCATCTAGATTAATAGAGAATAATTGAATTGCAGCATGCTTTTGCTGTTTATGCATTTTGCATACAGTCTAATTGTGGAATAGTGGTTGAAAAATGTGATCAGGCTCCTTTGTATTGTGCCTGAGGGAAAAATGAACAAAATACAGTGGTTACATGCACTGATGGCAACATTATTGCCTCATAATAGCACCAGGTTAACTTGTCTTAATGCTTGTTAACTTTGTAAGGAATCAATGGCTTGCAATAACTCACTTAGAAGTAAGAAATCGTGGCCAAAATCGCTAGAGATCTCGTGAAAAGGATGCAATTACAATACATCACCCTACTGTGTACTGGTGCATGCTTTGTTTCAGGGGGCAGTCCAGTGAAGTATTCAGGAAGTTCTCCAGGCTTCAGTCAGTTTTACTGTGCCATACATCTAAGTATATATTGAAAAGAAAAGTTCCTAACCTGCCTAAATACTCAGTCAAGTGGTACCTTGTTTTTACCTTGACTCCGATTTAGGCAGGCTAAAAAACAGCACCAAGAAACATGAGCTTCCCGTTTTGATTGGAAAGAATGACTTTGTGGTTGAGGCATGAGATGGACCTCAGCGGTGATGCGTGTTCACTTTCTGCTGCAGTTGCAAGCTTCCTGTGTCGCAACAGTCATTTTCCACCTCCCTGTGGTGTTGTGAGATACCAGTGTGCCCAAAGCAGTTCCTATTGCATAAGGCGAAGGGGGTGCCTGCAAGGTTGTAGATGAATACTTGGAGGTTGTTAGCACTTGGTTAACTTGGTTTTGATCTGCTGCAGCTGATACAGATAGTTCGATGTTCACGTTGTCAAGTGATCTAGCCAAGAAGATGCATTTCATTTTGGGTCTAAAGCTGTAGACCATGCCTCTGCTAATTCACGCTGCTTCTCAACTGCATTTACCAGCTGCAGCCCAGTGTGACACTTGCTGAAGCCTGCGGCTTTTGAGCTGGGGCTGGTTCCTGTCTGGTCAAGGTGGCGTGTGTGGCTGGCTACAACCTGTGGCTATTGTTGTGGGACCCTGTGGGCTATCGAGTGCTGAACAACCTCATCTGCTGGATGGTGGTATTTGTTCAGTGTGGCTGGAGATACTCATATATCACGGTTAGCTTCTTTTGAGTAAATATTGACTGCATTTATATTCACAAGACCCACACAAGCTGGCTGATTTACAGCTAACGATGTAGTTGTGGCAACCTGGAGCTCAGCACAACCTGCAAAAGCTGCTTGAGAAGCCAGACAAATGTCCACGGTATCATCCCCTGTCAACTTCCATGGAAGCATTACTAGGCTGGAGGTGTCTGTAATAAACTTTTTCAGAAGGTGCACTTGCCATTCCAACTGCCAGTGAGCTAGCTAATAATGGGCTAAAAGGATTGCCCTTTAATAAGGATCTTCATTTCCCTGTGCATAAGGTGGTCAAATATATTTGGAAGTAAAATAAAATGCCAAGCACTGGCATGCATACATGCAAGCAAACATATAAAAAGGAATGGCTGCATGCAATCTTTTCCTTTCATACACTTTAATATTAGTTGATGGTTTTCCTTTTACATTATAGATATGGACCATAATGTGCTTGCTCTTCCCTGTACAAGCCTTCCCTAGAGGTACTTCTGAAGTTCAGTAAATGTGGATGAAGAGTGTGAGATCCATTATAGAGAAGCAGAGCAGAAGTCCTTACATGCTGTTCAAAAGGAAGTAGTTGTTGGTCTGAGATGTGAGAGGCTGAGAAGACAAAATTGTTTGCCTCCATCTTAGATTTGTCCCAGACTACAGCTGAAACAGTAAATGCAAGGAAGCTGTCAGATAGCTGTACTCCTACCAAGGACGGCATCTTGCTAGCAGTTTATGCATATGTTGCTAATAATGTTCTTACCTTTTTATGAAGTGTTTATTATATCTTGTCTGAGTTACGGTGCTTGGATGCAGTGACCCTGCTGATCCCTTTTAGTTTTCTAGGTGTGTGCTGTACTCCACAGTAAATGTGTGTTTGCTCTCTGGCTCTCACTAGTATTTTTTGGGCAGCCTTGTCTCATTATGCCCTCTCTACATCGGGCTTTTCAGAATGGCACTGCTGCAGTTCTTCAGCAAGACCTGGTCTGTACTCCCTCTAAATAGATAATACAACAACAAAATAATATGAATAAAACATAGCAGAGCCCACTTGCTTCTGCAAAGTGAATCGTTCAGTGAGTTTTGCTTTGGATGGTGGTGGGTGGTGCTGGAGACAGGCTGGAATTGGGCATTTTTAACACCAGCATCCGTGCCTCTGGGAGCCATGGGTAGCTCTGGCGTGGTATAAAAAGCCCAGGTATTTTCCATCATGCTGCAGTGTCTGTGCAGGAGCCAGGGCTAGGTGGTAAGATAAGTGCGGTGAGACAGTGTGATGGTGAAAAAGCCTACATCCTTCTTGTGGTCTCTGTTGTTGCTACCCACCGTGAGACTGAAAGGAGGAGGTTTTCCAACTCAAGGCAAATGCAGACACATGGCTCGTTACAGAAAGTGAAAAGGGGTGAAGAGAAGAGACAGGGAAGAAGTTAAAAAGGAGAAATGATACTAGTCTGCGTGACAGGCGGGGCAGGGTATTGAGTTCATTGCTTGGGCCTGTTAAATGCAATGCAAAATATTGTTTTCCCATAACTGAAGAAAATGGGTCTGTCATTTGCTTGTGTGCACAGAGGAAGGCTAGCATTAAATGTGCGTGAAAGCTGCAACCCCGTGTCTATATTTGGTTGGGGAAAAAAGTAACCCTTTTTTTGTTGTTGCTGGTTTTACTTGGCTATAAATCGCCGTGTGATCACTTGATGGGCAGGCTAATGTGTACGCCTTGGTTTTAACATAATGCTGCTTGCTACCAGCAGGCTGGACGGAAAAGGTGTTCAAGCACGCGGTGAGCACTGGAGCCATCCATCCCTGGGTACCCGCCCGGTGGGCCCCTGGGCTCCCCACCCCTCACCTTGGTTTCAGGTTGCAGTGGGTCCTCGGAGCCCACTCGGGCTCCTTCTCTGCCTGTAGAGATCTCCACCCGCTCCCGCAGCCAGGGTCGGTAACGTGGATGGAGCCCCTTGCCCACCGGGGGGTCAGAGTTGCGGGGGGGCAGCCGGTGGGCTCCTCAAACCCCACGCGGCATGCTGCATGCCACAGGGTGACTCTGCTCTCCTGCATCTTCACCACTGGAGTGTGTGGTGTGCACCTGTGACTCGAAGCAGCCATGGGGCCACTGGGGTTAGGCCCCCCTGCCTAACCCCATGGGGTTTCGGGAAGCTGAGCTGTGTCCGCTCAGTTGCTGCGACGAGGTGGAAGTGAGGGAGAGGCTAATTACAGACCATGCATTTTGGGTCTTTTGCATACTAGCCACTGAAGATTAAATCAATGTTAAAGCAGCCAGCAATAGGAGAGTTTTAATTGTCTCTACCGTACCTAATTTAGGCTCAGTGTTACAAGGCCCGTGGGTTTTCTCCTCTGTGTGAAGGTTTGATCCCAAACCTATTAGGATCAATGAAAGATGCCTTGTGTGGCTGCTTAGGGAATTCCTGTCTTACAGTGCTTTCCAGCAGAAATCTTAAAGTGATATTTTGGTACTCTACCCCTCCACCATCTCTTCCTCTCACCTGGGAATGAAATAATGTTTTTTCCAAATACTCCTCAGAGCCATTCTTCATATGTTTGCTGTAAAAGAAAGGAAACCATTGAAACTCTTGTGGATTTGTCTTATTTTTCTAAAACCTAGATGAAAATTGGTGTGATTTCTACAATAACTTTGATGTTTTCAGGCTGGCTTTCTGTAGGTCCCTTGGAAGTTTTTTCTTCTCCTGCCTGTGGCACTGGGAACAAGATTTAAGTAAATGGGTGTTGGAACTGAATGCTCATATATACAAATCAAGAGCTAGGTCCCTTTCTTTACCTCAGTGCAAAAAACATTGCCTAGGAAATGGTAGGAAAGCAAAAGTGACTGTCAGCCTCTCAGTAAATTGACTTTTTTTTCAAATAATTGTTAAAATTTTTAAATCCCATTTTTGTGGGTAGTTTTTTTTTTTTGTTGGTTGGTTGGTTTGGGGTTTGTTTTTTTTTAATGACTTGATGAAAAATGCTATGACTCATTTTTGGTGTGTCTGACCTCCACCAGAAAATGGTGGTGTAATTTTTATGATCATCCTGTTGTCATCTAGAGCCACGTGTCACCGGGCTTTCAGCTATGTAATCAATGAAAGCTGTACCTGTCTGTAGCATGTGATGACCTGGAGATGGTAACACGTTGTCAGGAGCTTGAGGCTTGAGTATCGTAATTTGCTTTTTACTGGTTGTCTGTGATAGTGATACACCACTGCATTTTTTTTTTTTTTTTTTCTGAATGCCAAGAACACATTTGCTCATGTTCGGCCTGCTTTTTGTTCTTTTCATTTTCTACTTATAAGTGACAGATTTGGTTTATGTTAGCACTGTAGCTTTACAAAACTCTAAATGGGACTGCTGTGATTCTGTTTGCAGCAGTATGTTATTTGCTCTCCTGGCATTTCCTTCATTTAATTTTCCTTTGCTTAAAAACAAACAAACCTTAAAACCATTTTCTTCCTTCCAGGAGTGTTTCTAAATTACCTCGTTCATTATTTGCATTTATCCATTTTTCATAGCTGAGGTCAGCATTTCTTACAGTTACAGGTGGATTTTTAGGCTTGCTTTTTCTCACTCTGAGCGCTTTTATGGGAGAGAGCGAAAATGCCATTTTTGTTTGTGCATTGCACCGAGAACTGGCAAATCTGAGACTCCGAGGTAGCGGAGCCCTTCCTTGCGGCCCCCTCCCCCAGCAAGACTCAGGGTGCTGCCTGGGGAGCCCTTCTGATGCTCTTCACCTACTCTTGTGTTGGAGGTCTTTAGGGTTTGGGTCCCCACCTTATTTTATGCAGCTTTCTGCCCCTGGTAAGGACATACAGGAGGTGTGGCTGCATGGGCTGTTCCTCGGCTCCGCTGTGCCCGTATACACAGCAATGGGGGGCAAAACAGAGGCTTTGAAGAGACCCTCTCAGCCCTTTCCTTAAACTTTTCTCCAAAGAACACCTAGGCGTTGGTTTCGGTACAGAGTTGATGTTTCACCATTACAGTTTCAGCACCTCTCGAGGAGACAGGCAAGAGCTCGCTCCTCTCCGTGTTCAACTTGTGGCCATAAATCAAAGATAACTCGCTCCCAGCACAGATCACACAACCTGCTGGCAGTTCTCCCTGACCCCCTCTTGCTCCGATCTGCCGCATGTAATCCTGATCCTGCGAGGCTGCCTGTGCAGATGAAATTTGCCACTGGTGGAGCTCTGAACAGGCATGGATCTGGTTGCAACATGAGGACCTTACTTTATTTGTAGTTGATGTTTTCAAGTAAATAGTTTTCAGCATACAGCAATTTTGAATTTACTGCAGGAATACAGTATCACTCAAACTGAGATAATATAACCACTGAAGCTTGTAAACTGTGTTGTTAATTAGACCATGTGTTTTTGATGGCCTTCTTAAAGCTATTAAAATTTACATGTTGGGGATTGAAATAATTAGTTCTCTTTCACGTGTTTGACAGAATTGTGAATGGCATTTTAAATTTCTTTCTTACGGTTGAGCTGCTTTGAAATGTACCGAGAAGGAGAATCCGTATATCCTTCAGTGATGTGGGTGCTGTGTGCTTGTTGAAAATACATACCTTTCTTTTTCAGTATGCTTTTTTTTTTTTAAATCAAAAAGTTTCCATGGCTTGCATTTTAAATTGGCATGTAAATTCGAGAGCACACTGTGCTGATGAACAACAGGAAGAGAGATCCCCGTTTAGCCACATTGTAAAATAGTTCTTTTGGGAGCAAGGGTGTAATTCCTGGTGAGGAATGGCATAAATAAAATCCTCCCCTTACCTGATACTCTTGCAGATCAACACAGGATGTGACCGTCTGTTAGAGAACAGTTATTTCAAGCCCTGCATGTGTTTGAAAAGCAAAGTATAAAAGATAAAAGGAAGAATCTGTGCTTAGTAATTTAGAAAACAAATAACTTTAATCTGTTTCTGATCTTCATTTGTAGCACCAGCAACAAGTGGTGCAGGCTGTGGAGCGTGCCAAGCAAGTGACCATGGCAGAACTGAACGCAATCATTGGGGTATGTGGTCTTTCCGTTTTAGCTCTTTAACAGTGTTCGTAAATAGCATTTCTTTATCTTTCTCTCCTGTATGAACTCATTTCCATCAGGTGGGCAAAAGTTGTGGGCAGTGGTGAAGCCCAGTAGCTTGATCTTCATAAAAGCTGGTTATTACCTGAAGACTTTTGCTTGCCTTGTGCTTAAAAGACTGATGGGTTAAATAATGTCTGTGTTGTATCCTTTCCCTGAAGCTGGGTCAGTATCTGTTTTTTTTGTTGTCCTTTTTAAGTAACGTTGCTTCCTTTGCATACCACGTGCCAGTCTGCTTCTGCAGCCACCGTGACAGGTAGCCTTCAATTGACGCACTGTGCTTTAGGAGGGTTTTTCCCATCCCTGCTGCCCACATCTTTTTCTGGGTGGTGGCCCAACACTGTGAATATTCACCACGCTTTTTATTTTTACATTAAAAAGTAGCTGTTACTTTTCTTAAAAAAACAAGCAAAAAACCCAAGCCAACAAACCCAAATACAACCACAATCGATGACAAAACGACGTGTCACGTTGCGCTCATAGGCGCCCTGCTCCCAGTCATCTAAAAATACGGGTGTGTGGAGCCCCTCTTGTAAAAGCTTTACTGCCAGCGGTATTAGCCCGATACAGCCGTCCTGAGAGGTTTTATGGGTGTGGGCAGCCACAGTGTTTACATTTTACAGCTGGAGAGGAAAGGCATAACAGCAAAAGCCGTGGCTGTTCACACTACATAAAATAAAGGTGAGAAGTCATAGCTTAATAGCACATTATTCACAAGTATAATTATGCAGTTGGTGCAAGCGGTTGTTTAAGTTATTCTAATGAAGACACTACAACTGTACTTCCCATCTTCTGCGCCCTCCCAAATGCTTTTTCTTTTGTGTATAGATTATACATAAAAGTCTTTTCCTTTTTTTTATTCAGTGTATCAAACACACTTTGAAATGCTAATTATCCCATTTACTTTCATTAAAATTCAAATTGCTGAGTGAAGATGTGGATAAGGGTCGCCGAATAATCAATCTGAAGTGAAGATATTGCTTCAATTATGCCTCTGTCTTTTAACAAGGAAATCAGGACTCTCTGATCATTGCTGACAGTAGTGTAGAGCAGCGGCCTGATTGTAGCTTGTTTTTAATAAGCTGTTTCTAACTCTATTTTGTATCCTCTGACCACAAGAAAACACTGGTAGTCAATTAGAAGATACAAATGGAAAAGAGTAACCTTTATTTCCTCTGAAGTGCCCGTTAGAAAGAAGGAGGTGAATCGGAGCGAGTCATGTAGAATCATGAATAACATTTGTTGTACGTCTTTTACGCTCCAGTGGGGAGAGTGGGAGATGAATAATTTCCCAATTAGTTTTCATTACTTAACCAAAAATATTGCCTTACATTAACATTCTTTGCATAAAGTAAGTAGCTAAAGGTTGGCTTCTTTGTTAAAGAAGTTCTTACATGTGTGTGCTGCATGTGCGTGGGTAGCGAGCATGTATATGTGCTTGTACAGTTGCGTGTGTGTGTACTTGCACACGCATGTGTGTGAATACTTCACAGACTATTTGTGTACAGGTCTGCCATTCACCTTTGTATGAATTAGGGAGACTGCAAAAAGCAATTTGCTTTCTAGTAAAGAATACGTTGATTGATGTAGAACGTGTGATGTTGTAGATACTGGCTTTTGCACTCATTATTTAAGTTCATCCTGCTTTCATGAACCACTAAGCCACACAGAATAAATATAAACAGACTAGAATCCTGTCTGGGAGCCTGGTGGTAACTTCTGTTTGTCTTCCCCCACCAGACAGAAGTAAATTTTCTGTCTTGTTTGTTGCTGCCTGAATTTATCTCTTCAAGTCAGTTGAAATTCTGTTGCCCCAAATTTTCATAATATCTGAATTTTGGTTTTGTACATTAAAATGGGACAGCTCTCACCTCCCTCACAAGACCGATTTTTACCTCGCTCTACTGCCTTTTTTCACTCTCCTGTTTTATGTTGACTTAGGAAATGCTGTGTGGCCCTCTCTTTAGTTTTAGAGAAGGACGAGCAATATGCACTGAAAATTTCATGTTCCTGAGGTTTAAAGAGAAGTAATCTAATCCAATATTTAAGAGATTCATTAAAAAAATAGGAATGAATAGGATAGCAAGTGATCTAAAAAGCTTAAATACTAGTTGCACGAATAACCACAATAATGTTAGCGTCTGCACTTAAAGAGATTTAGAGTCTGAATATGTAGCATGGGACTAAAAAAGGCTTGTCATACTTTGTAAAGTGAATACCGATAAAAATAAAACAAAGAATGTAATTAGAAATCATGGCTTTTCTGTATCTCTAATTATGTTGTCTTATATTATTTTGCTGTTTGCTAAGTATGACAGAGTTTGTGTTCCTTTAACCCTGTGATATTTTAAAAGCTTCCGAAGTTCATTTACTCTTTACAGCTTTTAAAAATACATCTTTTAGTTACCCATTGAGCTGCATATCAGATGAAGACAGAAGCAGCACTTGAGTGTTTGATATACAACTGCAGCTTAAGTTTCTCTGTGCTTTGGGGGGCCCTATTCAGTTCACCTCACTCATGCTAAACCTTTTCGGTTTGAATGGAGGAGCCCTGGATTTGAGTTTAGAATGGATTTTACCAGAACGGAGGATGGCACAAGAATAGAATTGAATATGCACAAATCATGTCTCTCTTTGTGTTTCACATGTATATATTTTTGTATGAATGTGCTCTGATTTAATGGAAACTGATGAAGCACCTTTTAACTTTGCAATATTATTCTATCTTCATTGGTAAATGAACCAAGTCACTGATCCGTGCAGTTTAAATGCAAAATACTGAAGTGAGCCTGGAACCCAGAGAGACTGCTTGTTCTCCTGACAATAAACTAGTTGTGTGTAATGGAATGAAACACAGTTATAATGACTTCTTTCACAGGTCATGTTCAGTTTAAAACTGTTGACGGGCTGAAACAAGTTAAATGTCATCTGTCTTCTTCTGGAGAGATGCAGGGAGAAAAACTAAACCAAAACTAGGTGTCATCAGCATGCTGTAGGAGGACTGTAAACCTGCAGGCACCCAGATTCTGCATCTGCTGTTTGCTGTGGATGGTATGGTACGGCATTCTTGCTCGGAGCAATTTGTAGTGTGCATCCAGAACAGTGTGATGTAGCCAGTTGATCTCGTCATGTGTCATAGCTGCCGTGCTTTTAAATTACAATCTGCAAGATCACACTGTTGGAACAACACGCAAATTGTAGCCTTAAATCAGTAATACGATCTAATTAGGAATGATGTTTTCATTTCCTGTATTATTAAATTGAGCCGTCTTAACTCCCTCAAAATGTTTTTCGGAGGGTTTTTTTTTGTTATTTTTTTTTTTTTTTTCCCCATTATAGTATATAATCGGGACATGCTGTGTGAATGTGGTTACATTTTAATAAGGGAGCCAGGGAATTAACTTGCAACTTTTTAAGAATTTTATCAGAGCCTTTTTTTTCCCCCCTCTGTTTAAAATAGTCAGTTTTCAACAGAGGTAGGGTAACAAGGCAGAAATGGAGGCTACTCTGCTTGTGTGCCTGTTTATCACACAGAGAAAGATACATGTACCAAAAACTTAAGAACAGGTATGTGATGGTGTTCAAAGAAAATGCAGTTTAGCACAAGAAATGCTGAACCTCAATTTTTAACAGTGACATTTTAATGATAGGAAGTCTGCAAAATTATTTGCCATCAATTGTGAAGGCAATAACAAGCCTTGGTGGTTTTTCACACCCTCTGTGTTAAGTGCTTTCAGAATGACAGCGTAAACTGTGTTGGAGAACTCCAAGGAAGTAAAACTGATTAAAATGTTCATGCTTGAATGGTGCTGATGGAATAGTTCATTTGGACTTTCTCTACCTCCTGCAGCTCAAGCTGAAATATTAAAATTCAGTGGATTTAAATCTCTCTCCCCTCAGCTCAGGAAAAAAACATTACATTTTAATAGGTTTTAAACTCATAATTCATTGGTTTGGAGCAGCACTATTAAATCTATTTAAATATTACTTGTATTACTAAGGAAATGATTTAAATTATTTTTCCTTTACCATTCTATATATCTGAGTGAAAAAAAATGGCTTTCGTTTAATTTTTAAGCATTTTGTTTTATTATGTCACTTTTATTATCTTCTTTAAAAATAAGCAAATGGCAGTTACTGGAAGAAAGGACTCCTTCTGTATTGTCACACATAATCCTCAAGCTATAAAGTTCCGTCTTTAATACACTGCTTGTCACAATTTCTACCCTGTTTCTGAGGCTGAGGCGCTTGTTTGACCCATCTCAAAAGGTGTGTAATTTTTGGCTGCTTTCAAGCGAGTAGTCCCATTTTACAGCTGTGGAGAATGACGCCTCTTTAAAAAATCACAGTATGTCATCGCAGGCGTGGAAACCTCGGAAAGTGGTGCGGTGCCGAAAAGTGCACACAAGTTGTAGTAAAAACTTGGCATGGGTGCGTGCTGTCTTTGCCATGGTGCCTGTGGTCCATGGCTCCTGCTGCCAAACACCATGGGGCTTCCTTGCGTTGGTGCTTAACGTACGGAGGCATCTCCTGCTTCTCGTGGAGGGTGGGTTGCTTCTGCCTCTTGTGCATTCTCATGAAGTGAGGAAGAACGAGGAGTTTTTGGTTGAACCAGTGCAGCTGAGGGGAAATGTTTTAATTCCAGTTTGTATGGCAAAGTCATCCCTGCCAAGTGCATACGTTCAGAGACGGGAGCATTGGGGCGGATGGGGAAGGGCGGTAGAACAAGCAAGTGTGTTGTAGCATGAGGGCAACGGTCGCTTGTCTCCCCAGCCCTTCTGTATTGCTTGTTCAAAGGCATATTAAGCAGTGGTTGAAGCTTAAATGCTGTAGAACAAGTTGGCCACCTGCTGTACGTTGTACACAGGTTGTTGCAGTGGGAAGGTGGCAGAGGACATTGACTTAATGGGTACGTGCTTTGAGTTGTGTTT